CCACTACTCCCACGCACTAATCCAGCGATCCACGAAATTGGGATACAATGATATGCAAAAATGGTGATCACCATCGCTTTTTGCCTTCCTATATCTTCATCAACCCATGCTTGTCGTAAGAGGCGACAAGAAAGATTGCATGGTCAGGCTCGCTGTTTAGTCATTGCATGTCATCGTATCCCAATTGTGTAGATTGATGCTCATGATGTCTATTACTGGATTATCTGTTCCAGACTTGATTATTTGCTGACCGCCGTCATAAAGCTGGAATATTGTTCAGAGCAGCATTAGATAAACACACCCAAAAACGTGATGCTCAACGATCCAGAGTGAGGATAGCTTTGCCTTCACTCAATTAGTAGTGTGTGGCTTCTTTCGTTTGTCATAGGTAACAATGTCACATGTTCCGGTTACAATTCCCACCCACAAAATTAGAAAATAAGTAATACAATTTCTTTTCACCAAATTGACACTTTGTATTACACAAAACTAACTGAAGGATCCAAATATATTTAATTTTGTATTTCAAACTAGTACCGGTTTTGGAAGATTACGTCACTCCGCAGGATCAAATCGCTATCCCTTTGCATGATGAAAACATGATTTGCATTAAATTTTGTATTATAATCACTATGTTCATGTCAAGAAAATGTTTCATCGTTCCAGCTTTTGTAGCCACAACTGGTGAGTTGAGTCAAGAAAGTACCATACCTTTCCACTTGTTGGGACTGGCAGCGAGTGCTGGACACATCCTCAGCCCATTAATGATCTCCCCTTTTCTGAGCAACATCAGTCCCCATGGAAACAGATTTAACATCACAGCCAACGAATTGGAGGTGACGACAGACCCATGTGGCGACTCCGACTCAAACATTATTTACGCATATCTGATCTTTGCTTCATGTGGACTGATACTTGTTATTTTCCTGGCTCTTTTACGTTATGGACGAAAGAACAACACGGAACAGGAATCATCCCAGAAGAAAGACAAATCCTTTGGGAAACTGGAACTTATTTTAATCGGTTTCCTTGTATCCTTAATGTTCATTGCGGGTGGCACAAATTTCGTTTACGGGTCACTGCTGTTGCTCTTTGGAATTCATAGCAGTCTAAATATGCCTGAGACCACGTTGGCCCTTATGACATCGTCGTTTTATGCGGTGACAGTGTTGGGTCGTGTTGTAGGTGTGTTTGTGAGCTTGGTTGTTTCCCAGTCATGTTTGATCATAGCATGCTTGGCGGGGCTGCTGGCTGCATCTGTTATTCTGGTGTTTACTGCTGAAAGCAGTTTGCTGTATTTGTGGATGTGTTCCAATATTCTCGCACTGTTCTATGCTCCGATATATGCAGCACTGATAGCATGGTGTGTGGAAAATATTAGGTTGAACGATACTGTTTGTGCGACCTTTACATTCTGTGACATAGCAGGGACATCACTGGTGGCCATCACTATAGGACAACTCATGTCAGTGTTTGAACCTCAAATGCTGCATTATGCTGTCGCAACAATAGCTGTGATACAAATACTGCTATTTCTTTGTATATTCCTCCTTGGAAGGTTGGTACGAAAAGGCATTAAAGAAGAATACACTGTTCTGACTGGTAGTGAGTGAGTGAGTTAGTATGGTTTTCGTATCTTTGTGCAATATTCTAGCAGTATCACGTGGAGAAATCCAGAAATGGGCTTTACACATAGTAACCATGTGGGGAATCACATCCGGGTCTTTGGCATGATGAGAAATTGCTTTAAGCGCAAGGCTACTTTAGACAAGACATTTGCGGGATGTATGCCTGCATGTATCCATTATATAATGACCACAACTATTGAGTAACCTGTCATATATGGCGTCAACAACGAGTTCAGCCCCGAAACCTGTATAATTATGAACAGTTCAAACGGTCATAATCCAATATTTATAAAGAACACAAAGGGGCAACTAAGTTTAGTTCGTTATATCCGTAGTTCGTTATAAGCATATACACAGCATATATACAGCAAATGTAGGGACAGAAAATAGGTTCGTTAAATCCGTCAGTTCGTTATAAACGTGTTCGTTATAAACGTAGTTTACTGTATCATCAACCTGTGTTTTAAGCCAACTCATTGCTGAGCATTTTTTATATTGACTTGTATTGTGCACAGCCACCAGTAGCTAAAGTGATGACCTATGTCTGCTGGCTATCATGCAGGAAGATGAGGCAGTGGAAGTGTCCATGATCCCCAGCAAGGTGGCGTAGCTTTGGGTACGGGCGACTTATAACCGGTGTTTTCAACAGTTGTAAATAAATAATCGTGTATTCATGACTCACATGTTTACATAGCAACTTGTTCTCGTCGCCATATGGCTGAAAAAATGCTGACGTTTACTTTCAACGCACTCACTCACTCACCTGCCGACAACCTTTCAGTGTACGCAAGTGTCGTTCGAATTTGCTCATTCGTTTTGTCTATGGATGTCTGGTTAAATCTTTGCAAGCCGCCCTGATATGCCAAATATATAGGCTATCACATTACTACTAGAAGAAAAGTCCGGTATGTCTATCGACGTGGTCAATGGTGCACGTTGTAAGCAGCCTAACTTTGTTAGGCTTTCCCATAACCTTTGAGAGACTGGCAACGTGGTTGTTTCTTTTCTCCAAGAGGGGCATGGCTAGAAAATATGAAACTTGAGCACATGGGACACTTGGCTCATTCTGCTTATGAATCCAGAAAACACCAACGTACCAAACAGAGAAAGTGATCCTTCTATTTGTCATTTCTTTATTTCCAGCGACTAAAATACTATTCAGGGATCGCGGCAAGAAAGCAAGCTTTTGCAGGTTTTCAATTTTTATGATATATTGCTAGTTGTTGTACTGTCCTTCGACGACAGGTTTTGACATATAATATAAATGTTTAACTTGCTCAAGTCACGATATGGCTGAAATAGTGCCGATGTGACTTTAGATATTAACTCACTCACTCATTTCGACAACCGAAACTTTCCGAGCGATTAAAATCGCCAAACCAAGATAGCAAACAAGTGTCCTAAAATAATGATGGACCTACATTGATTATGTTGTAATCTTACAGCGTTAACAACGGTGTCTCCAAAGCCAAAGGCGATGGTCGTGTAGCAGTATGTGTAACACAATCAGTTGAGAAGAGTGATATTGTCCCAGATAACGGGGATCTATATTGGGCCATGTGTTACAATAAGTCACTCCACGCTAAAGATGTATACTATTTGTGTATTGCCAGCATGTGATAACATTCCAAGTGCAGGGCGGTCGGGTAGCCTAGTGGTTAAAGCGTTCGCTCGTCACGCCGAAGACCTGGATTCGATTCCCGACATGGGTACAATGTGTGAAGTCTGGAGGCAGACGGGAGCGCCAGCGCTGGTCGGGCCGCAAGGGGCCACGTCGACTCGGCTTGGGTCAGGCCCTACGGGAGAGCGCCAGTCTGACAAAGACGGGTCTCACCGGCTCGGCTTGCGTCAGGCCCAACGGGAGAGCGCCAGTCTGACAAAGACGGGTCTCACCGGCTCGGCTTGCGTCAGGCCCCACGGGAGAGCGCCAGTCGGACAAAGACGGGTCTCACCGGCTCGGCTTGGGTCAGGCCCCACGGGAGAGCGCCAGTCGGACAAAGACGGGTTTCACCGGCTCGGCTTGGGTCAGGCCCCACGGGAGAGCGCCAGTCGGACAAAGACGGGTCTCACCGGCTCGGCTTGCGTCAGGCCCCACGGGAGAGCGCCAGTCGGACAAAGACGGGTTTCACCGGTTCGGCTTGTGTCAGGCACACTCGAGAGCGCCAGTCGGACAAAGACGGGTTTCACCGGTTTGTGTCAGGCAAAAGTGAGTGAGTTAAAATGTGACGGCGTGGAGGGCATTATCAGGCGAAAAGATGTCTGTTTAGCTTATATTGTTCAATATAATATTTCGTACTTGTAAGACGCCAGTAGAATGGTTGAATGGGGAGTATTTAAGCCAATTTGTAAGAAGGGTAAGACAAAGTAACCAAACAACTTCAAATCACTGCCATGGACACTTGTAAGACGCTTTGGTAACGTTTGTACTTCTCTTGTTGACAATATATTCACTACTTTCATTGAAGTAAATGGATATTATATTATCTTAAGTCAAACTGGTTTCACAAAGAACTACTCTGCAACACTGAAAGTGCTGGCGCCAGACTACAGGTTCTACTACGACTACACCAAATCAGAATCAGTCGTTCGGCCAGCAGCTTTCGTAGAGGACGATAGGATGTATTGATTGGATTGAGAGATCTGGAAGCTGTGATTGGATGATCTTGTGTGAGATTTGTTGATATTTTCAAATGTACATCTATTGAGCAAATTAAAAGCGACCATGTTTTTCCAATATTTCGTGTTGCCTTTTTGAACAGGATGACTAATCCTGATTGCGACCATGGCCATCCACGAATGTTTTCGAGAGGGTGACACTGGTGTTTGAAAAGATGGCAACGCCAGAATGTTTGGAATAACACGAAGCAGGGTAACTGTACGTACCATTTGTAACGTCTTTGTGTATTAGGTGGCCGGGGAATGCCTATCTACGGTTCGACCCAGAATATGAAGACGTTAACGTTTCATTCAAAGCCTTTGCAAAGCTTTCATATGTTTAATGGTAGACATGTGGAGTAAGTGAGTGAGTTTGGGTTGATGCTCCTTTCCACAATATTTTGGTTATATCAAGGCGTATCAGCTTGTTGTGGGAGGAAAGCCCATAGTGATGCAGTTGTTTGGCGTTTTTCACCATCATGACACACGAGCACAGGTATTGTGACGCCGAACCTAGTTGCACAATCAGAGCGAAATGGGATTCAAACCCACGATCATATGTCTTTGGCACGACAAAGAAATCCAATCCTGCACAGCAAGTTTCATTGCTTTAACCCTGCTCCTACCCCACACTTACAAATAAACACCTTGCACATTACACGGATATAAATGTGGCTGTGGTGCTTTAACGAGATACGTGGCACATGTCCCTTCCCAGAACGAGGCATAATTAGGTCAGGTGACGTTCAGCAATGGTGTTTACAAGCAAGGTGAAACCATTCCAGGTAAATCTTTATTTCTACCTTCTGCACATCACATTCATAACTCACAACTAATTTACTCTTGGGATGGGATATCTTGGGATATGGCTACACCACAATTCCGCAAGTTAATGCCAGTCGTTTTTTTGTTTTTTTATCAGATAAGCAACCTTCCAAAGAACACTACCGACATAAAATAGAGGGAAGTTGTAAATGAATTGAATGTCGCTATCGTTGATGTGTGCATTTACAATACCGTGGCTTTGTATCTAAACGCAATCACCATGATATTTAACACGTGCACACAGAAGCTCACGTGTGTGGGTAGGCACGGGGAATGTATAGCCACTAATGCACTTGCGTTAAGCATACGCTTCAAAATGATTCCGAGACATTTCCTCAATGAACCTAAAAATGACCCAAGACATCACCTCATTACATTTATTGCACTACGAAATAGATTCAAACCTGCTCTTGTTATCATTAGAGAATGGTTAAATATCACGAAGGTGAATTTCAACATCTACCCAACATCTGTGGGATGTGCCTTGGTTGATAGTGTACGCCAGAGACACAACTGTCAACAACGTGGCCCAGCATGGGGTAGCTCTCCAGGTGGGGAATACCAAGGGCAACCATACGCAAGTTAATCAAAATTATGCCATCAAGGTGTCGTGCATGTATCGCCCAATATGGTGGACACACCAGATATTTATCTATGGCCCGAAATTAATGTTACAGACGTTTATCTTCATAATACCTTCACTATCATTTCATTAGTTCCCTTATTTTTTGTCAGTAGTATACAAAATATACAAATATAATGGCGGATTGCAACTAATGTATCACTTTGAAATAAAAGTTTTGGATATATTTGGATAGAAGTATAATTAAATCGCCCGCATGCTGTCAGAAATCAGCGGGCCACTGTAACTTGATAATGCCCTCATATTGCTTGACGACGGATCATTATATGTGACGTCACTGGGTAGGGATATGTTAAGTCACGTTTAATAGTGACGTCATCTGGTTTGTTCTGTGACGTTCCCATATTTGTAAAAGTAGGTCAGTGACATTTGTGTTGATTGCAGTAAATGTATCAAAACCGATAGTGTTGTTTCTTCTTATTTGAAAACAAATTCCATCCATTTTAGCTATAGTAAAGGTATCGCTATTTTTCAGGGCATTATCATTTGCAGAAGCCTTTTCAACTGCCCTCCTAATAGAAGTTAATAGAAGACCTCGGACTTTTGCAAACGATAATGCCCTGAAAAATAGCTTTACCCTTTTACTAACGTCTGGTAATTTTACAAAAGACATATTGTTATTGAAATACGCCAGCTTCTCAAAAAACCTTCCATTGTTGTGTCATTGTTCCCTTATTGAGTGTAATATTGATGTTATTTGTGTCATTATTGTAATATTGTTGAGTCATTGTTCTCAATAGTGTAATATTGTTGTTTTAATGTTGTCAATATTATACTATTGTTTTGTCGTTGTCAATAGTGTAGTATTGTTGTGTCATTGTTATCAATAGTGTAATATTGTTGTGTCATTGTTGTCAATAGTGTAATATTGTTGTGTCATTGGTGTCAGTAGTGTAATATTGATGACATTATGATGACATTCCGGTGACATCGTCGTGGTTTTGTTGGATCATAGTTGTGTCATCGTTGTATACGTATTGTTGACTGAGTGACGGTCATTGCAGAGTAATGGTAACAGCTAGCTCTCCTTGTTTCAGACAACGTTGCTAATCATCGTTCACTTCGGAACACTACTGAATGACACCTTCGGTAGGCAAATGTTTCCATTGTCATCAAGGGCTTGATAGCTACTATCTTCAGGGACTGGGTAGTGTCAACTATATACTGGGGGTGGGTTCAACTACATTGTATATAAGTAATATTGGATAGTTCTATAGTACAGGGGCGTTATGTTCTTTTCATATGAGTACATATGTATTTCAAAAAGGATTTTGAAATCGCCCGGACTCACAATTGAAAAGGAATGGTACATTTACTGTGCTCTCAATTCGAATCTTTCTTGTCCCAGGTCTGAGATGCCTGGAGTGTCAGGAAGTGTACAAGCCAGAGGACTGCGCCCTGTCTGGTGCCTGTGGACAAGATGAGGTAATGAGTGAGTGAGTGGGTGAGTGGGTGAGTGGGTGAGTAGGTGAGTGAGTGAGTGAGTGAGTGAGTGAGTGTAACGCCGTTTTAAAAAGCATGTCAGCAATTAACGGCACGAGGTAGACAGTGAACATAGATTATGCTAGCTCAAGGCGGCCTATGAATTAAACGATCAACATCATCATGTTTGTTGATTTCAATATGAAACGCAAATGTTAACCATACAATTGGTTCGTACAGAACTACACTGTAAAATCAGAACATGACCACACAATATCAATGAATGTAACGAATGATGTTTCAATACTCAGTTATATATAGCGCCCATTAATTATTAACCATCATGTGTTATTTTTATCGATGCATGTGGAAGCACACGTTTCACCTCTCCTAATTTTACTAAAATATAATGTCTTTAAAATATCTCGGTCCTGAGAGTAAGTGCGTTAAAAATAACATTGTAGTGACATTGCTTCAGTCATACGTTTATCACTATATCTATGATGACAATTTGTTAAACATACTTTAGCATAGCAATAATATTTATAACTATTTGAATAACACAGGCCATAGGCCGCCCACAACGAAAGCAACAGGACAAAGCTCTCCGTCTCCAAAGCACTCGACAGCAGGAGAACTTCAATCATTTTGTATATATTCTAAGCTGCGTTAACTGCCCGTATTGCAGCGTTGCTTCACCCGGGCGTTCATTAACAGCAAAGGGAGGCAAGCCTACAGACTGGGATGCGAGAACACCGATGTAAGTAAGATGCTACTTAATGACATATTCATAATGTGCAATAGCCTAACGGCACGAAGCCGTTGCTAATTGACCTGATTCTCATATGAACTCCATTTTCCAGTTTCAAAGTCTTTTTAAGTAGTGGTATATGTCAACAATATAGGATTACATTGCAACACATTTGAAATGTAGTTACTTAAAGCAATGTTACTAAACGCTCATCCTGTAATCATGTTATAGCATAAAAGGGAGGGCCGAAGATGCTGTAACTCATTTTGCAGTGTTGCGTCCCTTAGTCGCGACAGGATTCTGTGTTCAAATCCAAGACTGGTAGCTTGTTAGCTGGTGGGTTTCGCTAAAGTGGTAACGATCAGAGACGTTAATGTTACATCTGCTTTCCTCCCACAGTGATATAACTGAAATACTCCCACATCAAGCTGACACGCCGTAGTATAACTGAAATACTCCCCCGTCAAGCTGACACGCCGTAGTATAACTGAAATACTCCCTCGTCAAGCTGACACGCCGTAGTATAACTGAAATACTCCCTCGTCAAGCTGACACAACGTAGTATAACTGAAATACTCCCACATCAAGCTGACACGTCGTAGTATAACTGAAATACTCCCACATCAAGCTAACACACCGTTAAACAACTGAAATACTCCCCCGTCAAGATGACACACCGTAGTATAACTGAAATACTCCCACATCAAGCTGAGACGCCGTAGTATAACTGAAATACTCCCACATCAAGCTGAGACGCCGTAGTATAACTGAAATACTCCCACATCAAGCTGAGACGCCGTAGTATAACTGAAATACTCCCACATCAAGCTGACACACCGTGATAAAACTGAAATACTCCCCCGTCAAGCTGACACGCCGTGATATAACTGAAATACTCCCCCGTCAAGCTGACACGCCGTAGTATAACTGAAATACTCCCACATCAAGCTGACACACCGTGATATAACTGAAATACTCCCACATCAAGCTGACGCATACCAAATCGTGCATCTAAGCACAGTATTACGTCTTTTCTGATTGGTAAACATACATAACATTGCCTGTTGGAGATGTCTGACTTGAAGAAACATACGTTGGTGTTTGAATGGCAGACTAAGAGAATATTTCCTGCTGCAGGTGTGTGACTTGTTCAAGCATACGTCGGTGTTGATTGGTAAACGTTCCCCTGGACAAGGGCGGCCATGTCGGCAGTGCTGTTCCCATGACAACTGCAATGAAAGACTCTGCGTCGAATCTACCACAACGCCCAAAACTCCTTTCACCGTGCCTCTCGTCAGTACATCGGCAACAACGGCGGCAACTGTTGTAACATCTCCCCCATCATCAACGGCAGTCGTGTCGACAACGCCAAACAACACGGGTACGTTCGGTACCTTGCCTTTTACTTCCCTATCTTTAACACATGATGGATGACCCTGCGTACAACGATACTACGATCCAAAACATATGAAACTGAGGTCTATTTTTAACATGATTTATGGATAGAATGATAATGGGATACCTAACCTTCACCAGAAAGGGTTTTCTGAGTGTGTAGGAGTGGGGGAACTTGAATGGGTTGGAGGGGGGATTTATGAGGCAGCTTACAACTTAGGATAATATATGAACAACATTGAATGATGAAGCTACTATTACTCGTTCGTTTCAGTATCAATAATACCGTCAAATGTTCGCATTATAAACTTTCATCCATAATAAATGCTATAGAAAAAGCACGCAGCTAATGATCGCTGTCGTATTTACTTTCAACAAATTCAGTACATGCGCTATCGTGCCACTGGATTTTCTGGACCGTCACTTAAATGTGTGACATGGCTTGAGTACTGCTGTGCGGCGCCAGGCAACAAACAAACGCTGACCTTGTCATTCAAATTGTTGGAGTGGCGAGTGCTACCGATAGAACACATCATGTTTGCCCTTTTCGCGAACACATGGTGTCGTCACTGATTCTCATTGATTCATACATTTGATCTTTACCGCTATTTTTCCTTTTGTGCCCAACTTACGTAGTTACGTTTCGAGGCTGAGTTTTCTCTGCCGTTGACGTTCTAAATTTAGGTATGGGAATAGGCATATCTGAGGAAGGACATTACAGAATACATCTTCATAAGCCAGGACTGAAGTATTGATTACATCAAAGTGAACATTGTATATTTGCTTTATGTGAAGTGAGGAGCTTGGGTTAAAAGTATTTTAGCGATGTCAGGACGAACCACGTAGCTTTGGAAGAACAGTCAGCGCGACTGGGTAAACATTGTTTTAACAGTATTTTCTGTACGTTGAATGTTCACATCTTTAAGACGCATCTGTTTCAACAAACATTCCACAGGACTGGAGGTCTGCGTATTATTATTTTCATTTGATAATGCATCGTGTTCATTCAGTTGCCGATTGATGTAAATCTGTAAAATCTTGACGAGTGAGGGAATATAATTTTACGTCCCCTTTGGCAACACCCCAGCAACATCACGGCGGGAGCACCAAACATCGGATACTACTACTGTCCTTATCCAGTCAGTTCGTGGTGTTCGTGGCAGTCTAACAGTGACTTTTCTGGGCCCCGTTCCAGGACCAGCGCAGAGATAAGATGGTCGTTACTCCCAAACCTTATCAAAGACTTACGACTTTGTGGAACGGGTCACTGCCTGATAATACAGACAGTACGTATATCGATCACACACAGCATTGCAGAAAATGGTTGTACAACATCAAGGGTCTAGGCTATGAATGGACAACAGCTATGGTACAATGTCCCACATCATGAAGGGGTGTGTATCTCAAAATATGGTTTGCCTGCTCCAAATACTTTCATCATGAATTCACTATAGTCGTCAGGTGAGGTGACATTGGGTATAATGTCGCGTCATGTACGTGTGTGTGTTTGTGTGGCTGCTTGTACAAGTCCTGACTGATGCCGATTTATAGTGCAAGCCCACTGAGATACCGTGACACAGTTTAACACGAATACCACACTCAGACACAGTATACCGACTCCGAGCCCTTGTTTTAGCCCCTTAATGCCGAGCGCCAGACAGGGTAACAACAAGTACCATCTTTTAACGTCTTTTGGTATGACGCGGCCGGGGATCAAACCCCGAACCTTCCGCTCCCCGGGCGGACGCTCGACCACTAGACCACGGTGGCGGTCTCTATAGTCGTCAGTATTCTATGTGTACAGTATCACACATCTCCACCATTCAGCATATGCTTGACACGCATGGTTAACACTGTATTCACCAGCAGTCCCAACTTCCGGCAGAGACTGTCTGTCCATCCAGGAGCAGGGCGTGACGTCATCAGGAGTGTACTTGGTGAACCCAGATGGCGGAACTCCCTTCAACGTCTTCTGCGACATGACTGGAGAAGGGGGAGGTTGGACGGTAAGAGGACTTTGGGAATTATCAGTCTTGAAACTCCCCGTTCTTTAGTTAGGGGGCACTACAGGGACTGATCACACTATATCCTTAATTGAATGCGAACGTGATGGAACAAGGTTTCCACGTGTCAACGTCGTCGTTGGTGATGCGAGGCACGTGCGGTTCGTACATCCATGTCGATAAGTGTCTGAGAAACTCTCGATCACACCATCACGGTCAAATCTTGTTTGTAGAGGTATTGCACAACGTGTTGAAACTTAGTTTTAGATTCATCGTTCCTAACCCCAGAAAGTCTGGAACATCTTTAAAGCAGAAGACACACTTCAATGTATCATTTTCATATTTATGAAATGATTATCACTGGACTACATTGTAACAAGTCACTTACATCAGGTATGTCGGGGCGGTCGGGTAGCCCAGTGGTTAAAGCGTTCGCTCGTCAGGCCGAAGTTCGATTCCCGATATGGGTATAATGTGGGAAGCCCATTTCTGATGTCCCCCGCCGTGATATTGCTGGAATATTGCTAAAAGCAGCGTAAAACGATACTCACTCACTCACAAAAGTATGTCACAGATTTATATAATACATCACATATCTTATCTACATATGTACGGGTCTTTCAGTATCATTTGCAAACTTTCCACGTGTACATGCGCTGTGGTCAATATTAAGGCCAATAGTAACATAAGAATGAACAGGCATGACACCAATGCAATCATCAGTATCCCCATCGACTAGAGATTTGATTGGATATATTTTTAAAAATGGCGATTTTTTAGATCTAAGTCTTGTGCATTCGAATTTGATCTGTTGATTTTATCATCACTAATATTGTACAGGGACATATGTTTTGATGTCAGAGATTGCAACTGCAAGGGCCTCGCGGGTTTCTCTGTATTGTACTTTTGCGAAAACAAGCCTCGAAATGAAAACGTATATCCAAGTGACAACCCGTTTCCCAAATCATGACATCTCTTCTAAAAAGCAGAGTACGATTTTGTAGTACGAGACTATGTTGTGAGGATATGTCTATGAATCACTACCAAATAGTGATTACACTAGGTGTTCGCGTGAAGGCGAGCTCATCCTGCCTTATCGATGGCACTGGTCAAGGCAAGTTAGTTGTTCATCTGAAAAAAACATGGGAACATATATCAAAAAAGGAACTTGTCTACGACATCAATTTTGTCCCTGATGAGACAGTTTGGAAATCGTCCTCCACATGTCGACCAACCAAAACTTTCCTTAGTTCAGCGTTTGTTACCTTTAAGTCAGAAACTTAAAAATTCGACCACGTTCAAATGCTATTGCAGCTATCGTTCTATTGCAGCTATCGTCAGTATTATTCTACCACATAATCTCCTATTCTGCTGTTTTCAGGTTGTTCAAAGGCGAGTGAACGAGACTGTCGGATTTGACAAGAACTGGAATCAGTATATGAATGGCTTTGGTTCACTGGATGGGAACTTTTGGCTTGGTAGGTCACACATGGTGTTCCATTGATGGTGTGAGTTGACAGGAGATTGAGGGACTGTTGACCGTGATTGGTTTTGCAATATTCTTACTGCCCTGATACTCAAGAACAGATCTGATATTGAATAATAAGGAAATGCCATTATACTGTCAAAATCGTACAACAACTGTGCTTGTAGCAGAGATTTCTTGTGAATTTGGATTTCTTTTTTGTGGCTTTTTTTTCAAAGCATCATGATGTACATGTAGTTTGACTATTGTTGACTGCGACATTCAAAACGATTCCCTCACTCACTCTGTCCAGGTAACGAATATCTCCACCGCCTAACGAGTCAGCCAGGACGAAACTACACACTCATGTTCGAGTTGACAGTATCTAACGGAACCGTATATCACGCACTCTACTACGACTTCACTGTGGCCGGAGAGACAGACAAGTACAGGGTGAACTTCACTGGCTATGAGGGAAATGCAGGTAGGTCGACTACACATTTTATATAAGGGAGACCTGTATGTTAGTTAGACCTTGCTTCTGTTCCATGTCATGTTAATGGTCGTTGTGTCAAAAGACACTGCCACTAAGATCAATGTATGTAAGTTAATTGTGTCTAGAGTCATTGTGTCTAGATTGTGTGGAATGTTGCAATTAGGGCTATCGTATTTTTTGTTATTGTGTTTATTTTTATCTTCTCTTGTGTTCTGTGATTGCGTCCTGAGCCATTGTGGTGTAGGCAGAAGAAAACACTTATTTGCCATACAAAATCAGAGGAGAATACAATCATAATGCATGTCCTTTTCCTAGTTTTGTACATATCAAAGGACGCCATAATGCAAGCAAATAGATTGAAGAGTTATCTCCCATGGTCGGAAGATGGAATCATAGCCACCTGTAGAATGTTCTCTAACTATTTCAACACTTACCAACATTTTGTTTGTTGTAAGTTAAACAATTAACCGATAAATACAGACAGCACACACATGATAAGGGCCCCTTTTTGTCAAAGGGAATTATATATCCGCACAACAGAAAAGAAAGATAAAAAATAGTTCAAACATGTGATAAAAAGTCTTTGATCACGGAATTGTTCTCATTATTGGATTTGTTATCGAAGTAAGAAAATAAATCACTCATTTGTGCCATGATTATGCATTTGATCACGTCATGAGTTCACAACTTGCAGGCGTAAGAAAGAATATGACCCTCGCCCTCCTCATCGCGGAACACGACAAATACATGTGTATAGTGTTTCTAATGTGTGTTGTAGAATACGTAGACGAACGTGTCGCCATAAATGAGCGAGTTAATTGCTGTCTAACATCACTTTCAACAGTAGTTCTGTGGTGTCAGATCTCAGTGTATCGGCTTGATATCAGAGAAACATGGTACTCCTAGTTCTACTGTGCTAAGAGACCGGTGTTTCGGGCGACCGGGAAACTCCTGCCTCAACAAAGTTGGAATGGAAAGAGTATTATCGATTTTCTTCATATATATTGTAGGTTTTTATCCTTTTCCCAGGTGACAGTTTCGGTGACCATAACGGTTTGCAGTTCTCGACATACGACTCCGACAACGACAAGTCATCACGTAACTGTGCCCAAATGTACAAAGGGGGATGGTGGTATCACAGATGTTACGACGTCAACATCAACGGCTTGTACGGGGTGCAGGGAGACACGGGGATGGTCTGGTACGTCTTGACGGGGTGGGGTCATGCCGTCACGCAGACATCCATGGCTATACGACCGTCGGACATGTAGCTGCTGACAAGGGTTTCAATAAACACAATGTGCGATATTTGTATTTGGTGTTTTTCTTGTCCATGCTGAGAAATGGAATACATATATATGTACAGATTGTTATCGCATGTATCTGATATATCGAAGCGGAATTCGAATAATAATTGTCAAGTAAAAAGATCTAAAGAAAAGTGTTGAAAGTTACAACACGGCACTACACAGCAATTCAGTTACTTTGTGTCTGAACATAATACACACTTGAATATCAGGGTTAGAATGCTTGTTGTAAAGGGGTGACTAACGGAGTCAGGCGGTCAGACTCGCTGACCTTGGTTCGATGCATGTCATTGTATTGCGTAGATTGGTGTTCATGATGTCAATCACTGGATTAGGTGTCAGTCACTGGATTGTCTTATCCAGATTCCATTATTTACAGACCGCCGTCATATGGCAGGAATATTGACGAGTCCAGCGTTAAACAGCCATCCAACCAACAAACTTAACTTAATCATATGGTTGGTTTGGAGTTTTGTTTGAGACAGATTATTATTTGACTTATTTGTCTCTGAAGGGAGGAATACATTAACTGTTATATAATGTTGTACATATGTCTGAGATAATGTAACTTCTCTATTGCATATGAACATCTTCATGAAAATCAACATGTATGGCATTCCTTTGTGTTCTAGCGTCTCATCTGATTGTCACAATGTATCTTTGTTAACAATTACAATTCGATCGTGTTAATTGTCATTACGTGTGGCCCAGTCGTTAAAGTGATGATATAACTGCTTATAGTTGCGGTCCTTACACGCGCGAGGATGCTCTGATCGTAGGAAAAACTCCCACATTGGTACTTATCCTCGGCACCATAAATACTACTCAAAAGAAGTTAAGGATCACCCAATTCTTTCATAATGGGTAATGTAAATCTGTCATGGCATGAGAGATTAACTATTGTAATATGAAAGAATCAGGTGATCCTTAACTTCTTTTGAGTAGTATACGTACATGACATACACCACACAATTTGATGTCTAGTGACGATGTTCAGCAATCCAACTCTATGATTACTGGTGACACGAATGTACCGATTTATGAATTTAAAAATCCTTATATTATATCATAAAAAAAAATGTGGTTGCCATTACACATGTGTCAATTACAACTTAAGATAGTGTTATTCGTGACACGTGTACACAGTAAATTGTGCTGGGACACTGGTTGATAGGATGGTTGGTTGGTTTGTTGTTTAACGCCGCACTCAGCAATATTCCAGCTATATGACGGCGGTCTGTAAATAATCGAGTCTGGACCAGACAATCCAGTGATTAATATCATGAGCATCGATCCACGCAATAGGGACCGATTACATGCATCAACCAAGTCAGCGAGCCTGACCACCTGATCCCGTTAGTCGCCTTTTACGACAAACATAGTCACCTTTTACGGTAAGCATGGGTTGCTGAAGACCTATTCTACCCCGGAATCTTCACGGGTCGGAACACTGGTAATCAGACATGCAAGAAATAGATATAAATGTTCTTTTGAAGCAAGCTGGTAGCTGTCACTATTCTAGTCTGAGTTTGTTCGTAATAATAATAATAATCATTTTTATGGCATTTTTTTCCATGCTGAATATCATTCTCAAAGCACAGTATTACCCCCGGTCATTCTCATCTCAGTATATACACGACCTAAGCTACCTGTGATGTGCCCGGAGATTTAACAGCCACAATGTCATATCATCTTTCACCGCTGGCTGAACACTGGCATATTTCGAACAAAGTCACTTGCCCAAAAAGACACCACATGCGTTACTTGTGCTTCAGTATGGGGCAGGACCGAGGCCCTTGAAACTCTTAGGAGCGAAGCAGCCAAACAGGGTCACCCATCCAAGGACTCACCGTGACACCGTACGCGACCTGTGGCTTAACGCCGCTTTGACCAAAAAATCAGATACTTCACAGCGTGTCAGCTTGATGCAAAGTGTTTGTTTCTTCTGTGAAAATACGTTTGGATTAAGAATCCCAACACATACAATAACGACATTTAAACTTATTTCTAAAGTGGTTTCTGAGTGGTTGTTGCCGGCAGGATGGTAAGCAATACAAATGGGATCCCGTTAACGCACATGATGCATAATCGTCGCAAACATATGTAAATATTTTTCTTACTTCGATAACAAATCCAATAATGAATACAATTCCGTGATCAATGATACTTTTTATCATATGTTTGTACTCTTTGTTTTATCTTTGTATTCTATTGTACCGAAAAATAATTCCATTAAACACGAAGGGGCTCTTATCACATGTGTCCTCTCTGTATTTATCCATTCTGCATTTATCTATTAATTGTTTAACTTACATCAAACAAAATGTTGAAAAGTTTTGAAATAGCTAGAGAACATTTTAACTGTTTCTGACATTGACGTCAAGTGTATTTAATCTAGTGTACGCTATGCGTCTATCTTCCGGGTATGGGAGATAATTATAACTCTTCAATCCATGTGCTTGCATTATGGCTTCCTTTGATGTGTACAAGACTAGGAAAAGGACATGCATTATGAATGAATTCTCCTCTGATTTAGACTTTTTTATGCCTTTATCACAATGCAATCACCAAACACAAGACAATTTTAAATAAACAAAAACAAAATAACAAAACAATACGATAGTCCTAAGTTCCACATTACACATCTACACATAATGTCTCTAGACACAATTAACTTACTTTATCTCAGATGCAGTGACTTTAGACCATTAACATGAAATGGAACAGAAGCAAGGTCTTCGAGGTGACGATCAAGGCTTTGACAAACAAACAAAAACACACTCACATACTGGTCTCCCTAATATAGAATGTGTAGTCGACCTACCTGCATTTCCCTCATAGCCAGTGAAGTTCACCCTGTACTTCTCTGTTTCCACGGCCACAGTGAAGTCGTAGAGACCGTAGCGATCCTGGGTTTCTCTTGGTCGTCCCGACCTTGGCTGATCATGTGTTGACCCTTGCTGTTGAAACCGATCCCATAGCCCTGTGAAGGTGCGCTGGGCGCTACATTGAAAACCCCTGTTACAGGTAATCAGGATTCCCCTGCCTCCAAGCGGCCTATGACGTTGTTTCTTTGCACTTGTCTTAATCTTGCCATGTTATTGAACTGTCACTGTTCGATTGCCTCAGATGCCAGGCGATCAAAATCCCTGCACTTTAATACCGTTCATAGTGCTGCTGCACGTTTCTCGACTAAAAGTTTGCATGTTCTTGTTGTAATCAAAATGTCATTGACACTATAACACATTAAACTACTTCATTTTGCACCTCTTGGTCCGCTTAATTTGATTTTATGGCCAAAAATATCCGTATTGGGTTTCTTTGTTTTGAAGAGTTTTCATGCATAGATCTAAATATTAAACAAGTGAGGCGCTGCTCTCCTTTATCCATACTTCAGGAGGGTAAATCAGAGGAAGGGAGTTTGTCTTTGAGGATTTGTGTTTGCCAATCCGAGCAGAAATTCCAGTTCTTATGCAAAAAGAAACATATCAGCAAGAAGAGGGCATAATTGCTTTCCCTGTGGATGCATAAAAATACATCAATATCAATGAGGAAGTCCAGCGTTACTCACATAGCATTTGCTTTCATTTGTAGCAAATTGCCCCGAACTTGTGAATATAGACATGTAAATGCATCCAAGGTCACCACGTTTTATAACAAAAGACCCGTGGATCAAGAAACTTTTTCCTTAGGTTTGTCTTGCGGGAGAGTGATGTACAAAAGATGAAAAATCAAATGTTTTGGCAAAATTTAATTTGGTAAATAACGTCTGAAGTAGACATAGACAAAGACGTGCATGAAAACGTGACCCACTATCCACACAGACAGCCAAATGCTGGTGAATGAATCTGACAACCTGAACCCCTTCGGTCGTTCCTTACGAGCACTTTCTACTATCAGCACGTCAACTCGGGAGAGGTCATTTTCGGTAAAAGCCTCCAAGCATCCTGTTCAACGAGCAACGACTGAAAATGGCTTCGAGGGCTGACATTCGGGGGTTACATCAGTATTGTCATCGGCATAAACAATATTAAAGGGTTAAGATACAGATCTGGTCATTTATTATAAGGGGTGAGATTAGGGGCGGGCGGATGCCAAGATGTATGGGGGCCATCATAAGATGTATGGGGGCCAGGTCAGCAATATTTACATTACCAGTCCCATAACATATCTGATCTGTTCTTGAGTGTCAGGGCAGTAACAATGTTGCAAAACCAATCAGGTGAACAGTTGCTGACTCCCGTCAACATGCATATGGCAGTTTTTTATTTAGTATCTGACTTTTCTGACAATAAGGTAAACGCTGACCTCAGGAACGCTTTTTATAGCCAATATGTGGACGCAATTTTCTAAACTCACTCATCAGTGACAAACTTGATATCTGATACACTTTCCTATTGTAACTTGAAACATACTTTCCCATATTTTTAGGTGAACAATTGACTTGCCCTTGCAACTGTTTGTGACCAGTGCCACAAGTAGGGGAGCATACGCTCACCTCCACGCACACACCTGGAGTCATCACTATTTGAAAGTGATTCATAGACATATCCTCACGATATCTCATACTACAGAATCGTACTCTACTCTACTCTATTGTTTGTCACTCGTATTTACGTTTTCATTTCGAGGCTGGTTTTCACAAAATTACGATACAGAGAAAGCCCAGAGGCCATTGTAGTTGCAGTCTATAATATTGAAACATATGTTCCTGTACAATATTGGTGATGATAAAATTAACATATCAAATTCAAGACTACACCAAATTTCAACCTAAAACACGTCATTTTGTCGAAGAAATTCAATCAAATCTCTAGTTGTTAGGGATACTGAAGATTGCATTGGTGCACTGGTTTTGCAATATCCTAATTGTGTTAATGACACTCGGAATATAAGGACGAATTATATCAAGAACGATGGCAATGTTTCGCTTTGCTCACCACGCGAAAGCCGAGGTTATTTGCCTTACATGATACAATGTTTGTATCCGAATTTTGTGTTCCCCACGTTGAAATTGCTGGGTTGTCGCCCAAGATGACGCAAGATCATACTCTCGTCAATTTCTAGATTTTAAAGCTACTTCAATCGGCAACTGAATGAAACTTATTATATGCAGACTTCCAGTCCTAAGGATTGTTTGTTTAAACAGTTCCGTCTTAAAGATGTGAAAATTCAACGCAAAGGAAATACATCACCAAAAGCCGAATCTCCTCACTCTAACATAAAGAAAATATGCAACGTTTACTTCAGTGAAAATAATATCTCAGTTGATCCATTTAGATTTATTCTCTGATGTCCTTCCTAACATACCTATATTTCTACACATAAATATCCTAATATATCCCTAGTCCAATATGTAAATATAAATGTCACGCACAGAGAATAATTATTCTCGATCATCCGCCGTAATGTGACTCCACTGGCCGCAACAGGCAAAATACCGGTGAAAATGCTATGGACGAATCACTAAAAATTAGTGATGACAGCAAGTATTCACGAAAGGGGTAAGCTTGGCAGCATTTATCGTAATCTTTGCGATATGCGACTTTAAACAAAAATACTTAAGATTATAGATTGTCAAACTATGATGTATGGTTGTTTTTTAGGATTGTAAATCCATAACAGAAACAGGGGAGGTTAGTCATCACTATGTTGTATGCGACGCAATGCAGGCACTCATCCCACATTGAGCTAACATGCGATATTCCCTGTGTATGACGGCAGTATATATGATAGAGTCCAATCCAATTATCCTTGATATCATGAGCATCGATCAAAGCAACGGAAATGCGACCAATCAGACAAATCAACGAGACTGGCTACCCGAGATCTGTTTAGTCCCCTCTCATGACAAGTTTCACCAGATTTCACCAGTAGGCGCCGCGATTCGCAGAGTTGCGTCCCTTGGACACGCCAGAAACCTATGATTGTGGGTTCGAATCCCGGTTCGCCCCGTTGATGTTTCTAGGTTTGTCAGCACCATCCCCGTGCTCGTGGGTTTCACCGAAGTGGTAAACGTCTGAGACCTGCATCACTTCGGGCTTTCCTCCCAAATTAAGCAGACACGCCGCGATATAACTGGAATACTGTTAAAAGCGGCGTTAAACCCAACTCACTCACTGTTACATAGACAAGTAAGCTGTGTTATGCTTATGTTGTTACATGAAGGACTGTTGGCCGTCCAACATATTTTCCTGGCAGGGAGTTAAATAGGTATTGGACTCGTTCTTCTCTCGAGGTGAATAGAGTAGATCATCTACTCCCCGTACACGTGAAAGTGTATTCTGTATCTATCCCGTTCCCCTATAAGCAACAGACGCCAATATACAGATCCATCTCTTTATTGAATTGAGTCATCACTGTCAGCAGCTACCTGCTCAGCTGCTTCCTGATGGCCATAGACGTCGCCTTCAGGGTATGGAACGACCCTGTCAGACTGTCCCATATCAGCCCTTTCAATCCTAGCACACCATACACACCGTTAATGTTCACGTGGTAGCAATCATCATACCACCATCCACCTTTACACCTTTCACCACAGTTGTACTCATAGCGGTCGTGATCAGAGTCGAACGTTGTGAATTGCATGCGGTTATGTGCGGAGAAACTGTCGCCTGAAGGATGTGAAACTGGACTGAAACAACTTTACATTTTCCACAAGACAGTATGACACATGGGGCTGCTTCAATTTTCCAATGGTCAACTTTCCTTTTATGACGAGCAATATTCCCGCAGCTCCAGTCTAAGGTGTCTACATTTCACAGCCTTGAAGTACAATCGAGCATGATCTGTTGCATCCCTTAATGTGAAAAATACTCTTAATGTAAACAATTTTACCTGAAGGGTTGCGTGTTAACCCTTGATGTATTAATAGCATTAAGAGTAACAACCCGCAACTCTTAATGTAAAAAATACATTTTTTACATAAAGGGGTAATATCGTACATATCACCCCTTCTTATAAACAAAGTCTGATTGGAAATATAGGGTACCTTTTGCTATTTTCACGTTTCTCAATGTCTTTGCTCGGTTTCTTGTAATTATTTGTAATAAGCGACAGTGAGAGAAACTGAAATTGCTCAGATCTGAGAACAGGAGGGGCTATTTTAAGACTGGCTGGTTTGTTATCGAGGACAAGCCAGCTACTACTCCGGAAGGTGATGAGAATCAGTTGTCGGCTCCAGTTGCTGATCGCGACTTCGAATTGTCCGAATTGTATGTACTTTGTGATTCTTGTTATTGTTGCTATGCGTTCAAGCACATTGTTTAGTCCAAACTGCATTCAAAGTTACATTTCTACATACACTATACCTGCATTGACGTCAAGAGTTAAAGGGTGATTCAAATCCGTTTAATCTGCCAACTCACATTTGTATTGTGCATATTTTTGGAATGTTCCTATGTTTACCGTATGAGTAAGTGAGTGAGTTTGGTATTACGCCGCATTTGGCAACATTCCAGATTATCATGGCGCTTGACACAAGAAATGGGCTTCACACATTGTACCCATGTCGGGAATCGAACCCGGGTCTTCGGCGTGACGAGCGAACGCTTTAACCACTAGGCTACCCGACCGCCCCCTTACCGTATTATGAAAATAGAAATACTAATTAAAGCGTCTGGGCACGAACATCAGAACATAGTCTCGCTTTATCAGGGTTTCACTTTACAAGTACCTGCATTTCCACTGTAGCCTGTGAAGTTCACCCTGTACTTTTCAGCCTCACTGGCCACGGTGAAGTCGTAGTAGAACGCCTGATACACTGTTCCATTGGGGACTGTCAACTCGAACCTGAGTGTATAGTTTCGTCCTGTCTGACTGGTTAGACGATGGAGATGGTCATTACCTGGACAGTGTGAGTGAGTGCATCCTGTTTAACGCTAGTGTCAGTGAACGGCGACCTAAGTTATAGAGTCTGAAAAAGATGAGATGATTCTCCTCTGCCATCCGTAAGCACATACACAGAAAGGTAGAAAAGTGTTTGCAATTGTCTAAAAAAACCACAGCAGCTTACCAGAACATAGTTTGTTAATTTGAAGTTTACACAATATAGGACATTTCCATTGGAGCGAGTTAGTTGGTTTGAACGATGCTTTGGCTAGTGTTTTAGTTGTATCAGGGTTTGTTAGCTAAGGACAGCTCGGAGGAAAGCCCGGTGTGATGCAGGTCAGTTATTACTTTGGTGAAATCCACGAGCACGGATAGAGAGCTGACAAATCTGGAAACATTATCAGAACAGACAACTTGATTGGAAGAGCAGTCAGGCAATTCTTAACAAAAGTAAACAAAGACTACACATTAAAAGAGATGTTCTTCCTTGGCATGTCAGTCTAATCACACTGCGTATGGTTATGGCAGCGCATTCCCCATACAGTATAATCTTATGTCCGAATCTCATATTCCTCTAGGTACATACATAAGAATGATACACCCACTTCTGATTGAATGGTATCACGTTCGACTGAAGAAAAACATATCAAATGTTACATACATTTCACCTGATGAAGGAGTAAGTGTATCCTCCGAAACTTTGTGTTCCTCATAATAAAGAAGTTGGCATCCATAAATTATCTTCCTTATGTCCTATGTTGTGACACATTAATCCAGTGCCCCCAACTATGAGCATTTTCTCTTGAATGACGTAATGTCCTGTTTTGGAAAACACATGGCATATGTAGTGCGAGTGAAAAAGAGAAAATCACATGCACAAAACTTCATTAACAAGAATGTTATATCCACTTCCATTTTAATAACATAACTTACCTTTAGAGAAAACACATGTCTGATGTACAGCTTTAAAACATCTTTAAAACTCAAGTTAGCTTTTCAGACAGATAATGGAGATATTGTTGAATTCATTCAGGCTTTGACCTTGAAGATGACCTTGACATGACTGATCAAATTCCCATGGCCATAAAAACATGACAACTTTACCCAAACTTGGCGATGTGATTGTTGTACCCATCCACATTTGCTGTGTACTTCGACATGAAGCAGTATTTTGTGAGCATGAAGCATGTTTGGTGTCGAATTGAAGTGTTTTTTTTCTGAATGTTACATTTTTGCACATCATGATTAACAGTTTGACAGGTTAAGAATCTGACGTTGTGGATCCTATGAGTTCACTCTTTTTATCTAGTTGAAACGTTACCTGTGCTTTATTTTGTAACCAATTTTCAAACTGCATCACATTGTTAAATTACTAGAATGTTCAACACTTTCAATTTCGTCATTACAGTAGCTACATAGATTGTTGTATACTATCACATTTTATTAAGTGGCTTTATTGTTAGTAAAATATTATGGAGAAATTGGTATTGCAATTTCGTATTTTTAAGGCACTTCAATGGATCGAATTATATCTGCATTTCTTTCTTTCCGTTCATTCCTCTTCTAATATCAATTCCCATTTCGTACAGATAGGGTTTTTCTAACACTGGCTATCTAAGAAAATGTCGTATTAGTACTGACTATGAAAACTTTAACACTTCAATACCCTGCCTTAATTTCATCATACTTCTGTGAACGCGCCTTAATATGATCCCGGTCCTGCCGCATAAAAAAAGCATATACTAAGTTAAAATGACATATTGCAGATTTTGTTCAGGCTTTGATCTTGAAGATAACCTTGACATGAATAATCAAATACCATTAGCTATCGAAAGTTAAAGACGATATGATATCACAGGAAACAAGCACCGGAGGCCAAATTCAGACAAAACCATGCATCCTTATTTAACGTGCGTAATGGCTCGAAAGGGTCGCTATGCAGAAGCTAAAGCGGTTGGTCATCAATATTTTAATATATTAACGCGGTTAATGTAAAACATTAAAATGGTTAGTTACTAAAAATATAGAATATTAAAGTGGGAACCTATCGCACCTATAGCAGATTACCTTGACATGTATTTCTTTTAGTGTCAGGGTAGTAAATAATACTACAAAACCAAACATAGTAAACAGTTGGCTAAAACGATCCCCCAGCTCCTCGTTAACCCACACAGTCAGTGAAAAACATAAAACCTACCAAGCCAAAAGTTCCCATCCAGTGAACCAAAGCCCTTCTTATACTGATTCCAGTTCTTGTCAAATGCGACTGTGTCGTCCACTCGCCTTTGAACAACCTGAAAAGGACATTTGGTTGTGTACTGAAATAATGACTGCAGTGGTATAGAGTCAGGCCTTGCAAGCAAAACAACGCGTGGCAGTTGAGTGCTGCAGTCGATCGTTTATTGGTACACTTTCACAAAAGGTATCGATAATTCTGCTAACTGAGAGTTTGTAAATCCCAGCTGGTGGGACAACAGTGTTGTTAGTCCTAAATGAAAGTAACAAGAGTTGTCAGGAGATGACATATCCGCCAATTTCATGTTATTGGCTACTTAAACCCCACCTATGCCTCATTAGATACCTTCGTCCCGCATGTCCTTGAAAGAGTCAAGGCAACATGAAGCCGCATGACACAGCGAAAGGATTCCATACAAATTACTTTGACGGGAAATGGCATGGATAATGAATAGTAATTTAATTACTTTTTGCTCTTCTCTGCCATAATTACTATAAAGTCAAATGTATACCTGCCTATTTGCTTACACACTCAGTTAAGTGAAGACAAATATAATGTTGTTCAGTTTGTATACAAATCCCTAGTCATCCAAAGGCACCAGTTCAACCCTAGATTGACCTGAACATTCAAATATTCAACTGATATAGAATTTTTTATATTTTTTTTTATTTTTGTTGAATTTTTGTACAGATTGCACATGGTTACATATATAATACAGTTGAAGAAAGAAAACATAGATCTTAAATATTAGATTAGACATTAGATAATAAATAGTTTATGACACAATGAACAGAATTAATAGAAGTTGTCAATTCTGGAACTTAAGATGGCTGAAAAAATTGACAGGACATATAGAGTTCCTGCAGCAAGAACCGAATACTTGAATATGATAGATTTGAAAAGAATTAGAATTACATTTATTGGATCGTTATTTCTGTGACCGAGACCAAGAAGATTATGTTGCCTGGAAACGTTTATGCTTAATTCGATATTATCTTGAAGCAAACTTTGAAATTCTTGCCAGATAGGTGTTACCTTGCTACAATCTGAAAATAGATGTGAAGAGGTTTCTTTAGAAGCTGAACAATAACTACAAGTGTCGTTATCCACGTATCCCATTTTAATAAGTCTACTGCTTGTTCGTTGAATATGATATAGGTTTTTTTTATATTGAAACCATTGGAGATCAGTGTCTTTTGAACATCGAAACAATATGTGGATATATAGTTGCCATGTATGTATCATTTTGAAGTTTATGTTGCCATTTTCTGCAGTGTTGATTACTAACAGTGGATTTATTGATTGTTTGTGTAGACACTTCAAAGTGTAAGGTTGGATAGGATTTTCTTGTATTTTTAGGTTTTCTAATTCAATATTATTTGCAGAACACATTTTTGTATTGCACTAGAATCCCTCTATATTGTAAGTAATTTGCTTTGACGTAAAACTTACTTATAAATTTATTGCATGATAGAAATTTCCCTGATACATTTAGCAGGTCATTCACATAACTTCCATTTTCGACGCTACATATCTGTTGATCGCTTTTCACCTTGTCTGGTTTATTTCCCCATATGAATTCTTCTGGATATGGGAGAGAGGAACAAATATGATTAACTTTTGGAATAACAAGTGATTTTAATATACAGTTACCGGACAAAGGCGTGTAATTACACGCTTACTAGATGGACATATGCGTCTCACATTTTCCAAGTGTATCTTTAAATTTAGTTCAATCATGTCAAGATCAAGACTAAATTTTATCCCCAGTAATTCAAACGTTTTCTGATCCCAGTTTATTCTCAATTTCTGACACAGCTTCATTCGTGAACCTTTTTCGAGCCTAGCCAAATAAATCTTGTTTTATCAATATTCATTTTCAATCCTGAGAAAGGGGCAAAGAATGTTAACACTTGTAGCAATGCCTGTAGGCATCGTTCCGTCTAGAGAACAAGTAGTATAATCAGCAAACTGGTTTAAGAGGTTATTAAATATTACCTACATCAGTTCCCTTTACCTCGGCATTATTACTTACAGCTAGAAATTCCACGCATAACCTTAATAAATACGGTGAGAGTCGGTCTCCTTGACGACAACCCCCGAAAATATCAAATGGCGGAGTTCCAAAACCGTTTACAAGGACACTAGATTCAAAACCTTTATAAAATACGTAAATCCATTTTTTAAGGAATAGTCAAAGTGAAAGAGAGTGGGCATTTTTTCAATGAAGGTCCAGTCGACAGTGTCAAATTTCTTTTGCGAAGTCTACTAAGATTAAAATGCCATGGATTCGGTATGTGTCAGTGTATTCTATCAGATCATACATTTCTCATCAATATATCTACCAGAAATAAAACCTTTTTGGTCTTCATTTATTAGACGAGATATTGATAGAGAAACAACTTTATAGAAGACCAAGAGTATTGCAACTGGTCGCCAATGTTTTAAGTACGGCTCCGGCTAAGATCCCTTTGGAATACAGGTGATTAGTCCCAGTTTTTGTAGTTATGACAGTTCGCCTTTCTAAAAGCCTAATTTTATAAACGTTCAAGCTGTTTACCTAAATCAGCAAAGACATATTTCAGAAATTTCGCAGTAAACCCATCAGAACCCATGCTTTTATCATTCTGTAAACATTTTAGGGATGTGAGAACTTTATCATAAGTTAGTTATCCTTCAAGGTTAGATGCAGCTTGTTTATGTAATTTTGGAATAGCAACATCTTTTAGTAAAATCTCTAGAATTTATGTCCGAAACGTCCTGTTTAGAGTATTATTCCTGGTAAAACAATGTAGCATATTACCATTTGAATCATCAGTTCGAGTAAAAGATGTATTTAAGAAGTTTCTAATCCTAGAAAGTAGGATGTAGGTTTTTCGCCCTTTTCTATTTATGTTGCTTTTGTTTCATCAACTCTTGAATTTTCACATTTAATATTTCTATAAAAAAATCCTGTTTCAAATGTTGATTTTCAGTAATAAGGTCATTTTTAACTCATTCATTGTCTTTAACATGTAATGTATCCGAGAGGATATAGGAATGTTCAACGGTTTTGCTCATTTTCAGTATGAGGCCAGTTTGTCAGGAAAACCTCCAAAGATAAAATATAATCCCATATATCCCACAGTCCTCTTCCATTACTGAGCATATATCCACATGTCTCTTACATTATTGAGCATATATCCGCACGGTGCTCTAACATTATTGAGCATATATCCCCATAGCCCTCTTACATTACTGAACATATATCCCCACAGTCCTCTTATATTACCGAGCATATATCCACATAGCCTTCTTACATTACATAGCATATATCCTCATAGCCGAGCATATGTCCCCACAGTCCCCCTACATTACTGAGCATATATCCCCACACTCCTATTACGCTACTGAGCATATATCCCCACAGTCCTCCTCCATTACTGAGCATATATCCTCACAGTCCTATTACGCTATTGAGCATATATCCTCACAGTCCTCCTACATTACTGAGCATATATCAACACAGTCCTCTCCCATTCCATTCCATGGGTATAATGTGTGAAGCCCATTTCTGGTGTCCCCCGCCTTGATATTGCTGGAATATTGCTAAAAGCGGCGTAAAATCAAACTCACTCACTCACTCACTCCTCTTTATTATTATCATTACTGAGCATATATCCTCACAGTCCTATTACAGTACACAGCATATATGCCCACAGTCCACTTACATTACTGAGCATATATGCCAACAGTCCTATTACATTACTGAGCATATATCCTCACAGTCCTATTACATTACTGAGCATATATGCCCACAGTCCTATTACATTACTGAGCATATATCCTCACAGTCCTATTACATTACTGAGCATATATGCCCACAGTCCTATTTCATTACTGAGCATATATGCCCACAGTCCTATTACATTACTGAGCATATATGCCAATAGTCCACTTATATTACTGAGCATATATCCTCACTGTCCTATTACATTACTGAGCATATATCCTCACAGTCCTCCTACATTACTGAACATATATCCTCACACTCTTATTACGCTACTGAGCATATATGCCCACAGTCCACTTACATTACTGAGTGTACTACGCTATGGTCCCCCTCCATTACACAGCATTTATCCCAATAGTCCTCTTACCGCCCAGCCTCCCTTGTCTCCAGTCATGTCGCAGTAGACGTTGAAGGGGGTTCCGCCATCTGGGGTCACCGAGTACACTCCTGATGACGTCACGCCCTGTTCAAGGCGGGACAGACAGTCTCTGGCGGGAGTTGATGTTGGCACTGCACAGAAACCATGCACGCCAGCATTTAAACTGGCTCAGGAAAGATACCTACGATTTTCTAGGAAGGTATGTTGTTCATATTCGTTTGTGAAAATGCAAACCAAAGGTTGATATTGTTATGGCAGTGAATGTCATTGTTGAACAATGAGTGTAACAGGGTCACATTGTTTCTGTTGAGATTCGGTAGACGCTCATTGCATTGCGTTTGGACAGTGGTTAGTTTTCCGGAATGTAATGCTGTTTAATGTAACCAGTTTTGAGGAAGTTACTATATCTAGATGCTTGTGTCGAGTGTAAACCTCCGGAACTTCAGTGGTAGGTGATTTATGATAAACGATGAGGTCACAATGATCTGCAAATGCGCTTTACATGGAAAATGATCATTAAATTAGACAATGTTATTTGCAAGTGGGTTCCATTTCAGTAAGTTATCTATTTCTTATGATTGCAACCTTTTCTTCGACTTCACATACAGATGATAGATATCCCACAAAGAATTCAACAAACGTTTAACGCATTTAATACTTAATATATGCATATGCAATTATATAAATGGATAAAAGGACAAAGTCATCGACATCCCAAGCAGTGGTAAATACTTGTGAACATGTTAACAGGTTAACTATAAACATATGGTTGCCATGGAAACTGCAAAAACTATCAAAAGGAACCAGCTCATCACTAGAAGTTAGGTGATGAAATTTTGGTGGTTTTAAAGAACTGCTCCGGAAACGCCCACTCTCGCCATTTCCAGCCAAAGTCCATATTGTTGGCATTGAAATTCGAAAATAATTCTCTCCAGAAACGATGTCCTACAATTGATACCCGTGTTTTTTAGACGAACAGTTGACTTTCCTTAGATCGATAGATCAGGATTTGCTCACCTTTTCGCGAACACCTGGTATCATCACTAATTCATAGTGATTCATAAACCCTGCTACATGATTTAATCGAGATTTCTCATGAATGTGTTTTTTTCCACTTTAATTTTCATGAAGTCGACCTTTTTGTCATAATCTGTTTATCTTGCCATATCTTAATGCACAGATCTAAATATGAA